TATAAAAAAAAAACTGTGCTCAAGTCGGGCGTAAACGACTAAAAGATACCCTCAGCTTCCTGCTTTATCCACGCACTTGCTGTCCACTTTGTGCTTGTTCCCTCTGCTCCACACTTTGTGTTTCTGATTAAAGTCGTATCTTTATGAAATTTACAGTGCTTAAATATGGCATACAAAAGTGTGTATACACCAAGGCTAAATACTTTATTTGACAACATACGCGTTATGCAATTTTGTCGAGAACGGAAGCAGGTATTCAGAAAGTGAAATATTCTGAATTTGCGTACACTATACAAGAACCTATACACCCAGCATGCTGTATCTATCTGTTATAGTTTTTGAATAATGCTTTAAAAAGCAAGTCCCAACATTGATTTATAACGATTTATCGAAATGGATAAGCAACCCTTAGCTCGTTCGAGCATTTGTATATATGTGTTTAAAATTGCAATTCTCTAGTTTTGGTAGTTGCCGAGTTCACACAGAAAGACTCTCGATCGACCCAGCTCGTCGTTCTGATCAAGACTACGCATGCACACTGTTACATGCAGTTGCAGAAAACCAATATAAACTCTTCCCATCCTTTTGCGATGAGTTCGGGCTATGAAATTAAAACTTTGTGTAGCTGGCCATAAGTTACAGCAAGAGGTTTCTTGGACTCGCAGCTTTAAGTAAGATTGATTGCAAGTGTTTTGCTTCATTTTTTGTGCTCTGTGTGTCAAACAAACGCTTGACGGACTAAAATTGTTTCCTTTGAGCACTTTTTTTTTTAAGCTTTTCAACATTTTTAATAGGTGTCATTCGCCCCGCAACAGTGGAAATGGAAAAATTGTGTTTGCAAAACTTACCGAACTCTTGGCCGTACAACTAGTTTTTATTACTCGTTGATTGACTGACTGATTGACTGACTAACTGGTTGACTTACTGGCTGATTGACGGACTGCCTGATAGATGATCAATGATCAGGCCAAATCGTAAGAGCTGTAAAGCTGAAATTTGTTTTGCGTTCTAAGACTACTTTTTTTTTGGAAAAAACCACCCGCGATTGCGGAATATTGGTGGAAATCGTTTTTATGAAACATACTAAGCGTTTTCTAGAAATTGGTCTGACTCGTGGCTGACAGTTTTCGGTTGATATCCCAGCCTGAAAACTGAACGAAAGTTGAACTTTAAGTTTTCTTCCATTCAACAAATGTCTACATAAAATGTGAATTGAGACTTGGGGTTAGGCTAGCAAAAGTAATATGTAAGATTTATAGAATAAAATTACATGAACCGCGCAAAGCCGAGTAATATAAGTAATATATTATAAGTAATAAAGGTAATATAAACACCATTTAACTTACCTTTAGATTCAAAACGTGATAGCTGCAAAAAGAAGAAGATAAAAATATATAAAAAACTGTGCAAATTTTGGAAAAATGTTAAACAGGCAGCTCAGATAAGTGACATATATTAGAGTGAGAAAGAGAGAGAGCGAGAGAGAGAGCGAGAGAGAGAGCGAGAGAGAGAGCGAGAGAGAGAGAGAAAAAAAGAGAGAGAGATAGAGAGGCATAAAGCTGATGTTGATAAGCATGGACATGCACATGAATAGCTTGGAAACGCAATGAGGATGTCTGTGCGTTTGTGTGTGAGTGAGTGTTTGTGTGCAGTATTTCGCGTACACCATTCGAGGCACATATAAAAAAATGGCAAATGAAAAGCGGGACACACACAGACGCACACACACTCTCACACTTAGAGGAGCACGCACTGGTCTGGTGTTGTTGGTGTTTTGAAGGATGCCGAATGGGATTGAATCATTGAATTGAATTGAATACGTGCGAGCACGAAACAGAAAGCACTGCTACGTGTTCCGCTCATGTTGTTGCTGCTGCTGTTGTTATGTATTAGCAGGATGTCAATGTGTGTTGCCTGGAATTATGTATGTGTACACCAACAGCTGGCAGCAACAAAACAACATAGATGGGTCCCTAAATCCTGCCGCTCGCCCCCGATAGCCCAGATGGCATCGCACGCGTAAAAGGCATCAAATGTTGTCCGAAAAAAGCAAAGCACATCAAAAAAGAATGAAAGCACAGGGCAAACAAAAAAGACAGAGGGGAGACTGCTCCCTGAAACCGAAGCACTGTGAACTGTGGCACAGTCCAGTGGCGGATCCTTTGGCTGTGGCCCCAAATTGACATCAGTTGCTGATTTTTAATTAAAAATTTGCGACGTGTGAAGTTGATTTCAATTTGGCGGGTGCCCAACTGACAGTTGAATGAATAGACAGCCGAAATACAAGATACAAAACGTGCAGCTTATATCTATATCTAGCATATATATCTATCTATATATATATATATATATATATATGTATATATTGCTACTGTTCATGTTCGTGACTGACCACTTGACTGGACAGGCGCTAGCTATCAGTCGCGGGCCTAGAGCTCGGCTGGGCCAAGCAGCTACGAGAGAAATATTACTCTGCAAAGGACGATGAGGACGTCCGATGTTTATCAATTGCATACGAATGTATTGGGCAAGGGCTGTGGTCACAGAAAGCGAAAGAGTTTCGGCCCAAACACGGTAACTGGTCCTGCAAAATGTGTCGAACCTATGCAACAAATTTGCTGAATTTGATTCCGAACCGATTATTGATCGCTGGATGGAACAGGATTGAGACTCGTTGCAGCATTATCTGCGGAAGCATGAATGACCGAACTCAACAATGAGCTGCAGTGCTTCGGCTTTGGCCTAAAATGCTCTCATGTCCAGCTTCCTGGATTCGCTTCTAGCTACAAACAAGCACAGCATGGCTATTTATCGAAAGTGGAACTGATCGATGGCGCTGGCCCTGAGCTGTTGGCCCCTTAATACCCTGGCTGCACTAAGTACTACATTTGCCACATTGAATTAATGCCAGTCTGCTGTAATTTCTCGTGCCGTGCCTGCAGCAACTGCAACTCATATCTGTTTCAGCTACTTCACAATGCTTATGAAATCTTAATGCACTATTTTGATTCGTAACAGACAGCACACGGTGCACAGCAGCAGCAGCAGCAGCAGCAGCAGGAACAGTGAGTAGGAAGGGAATCTGTAATAATGCTGCTGCTGCTGCTGCTGCTGCTGTTGCTGTTGCTGCTGTTGCTGCTGGTGGTTGGGTCAGTGGATGCCTTCATAAATATACAGATTAAATATTGAGTTAAATGCCAGACACACAAAAGCTCACGACTGTTGCTTGTTGCGGGGGATTAGCCAACTGCCACGAGTGCCAATGAGCATTCTTGATGCTGGATTAAAAAGCAAGTGCAATAAGCGCATGGAAAATCATTTAAGACTAGCCGAAACTCAACCCTGCCTCCTCCCCCCCTTTACTGCCTCACCAGAAGCCTAATAGTCATTTACATGAAGCATTTTAAGCTGTGGGTACTTGTGGACTAGACTAATTGAACCATGAATGCTTTATAAGTGCTGCGGGTGTCAAAGTCATTGTCTTATATAATGCCGCAATGACATTAACCTTATCAAGTCTGCATGTGTGTGCGTCTGCGTACGTGTCGGTGCATGTGTGTTTGTGTCAAGAGGCTCTTGACGTTCACACGCGCATTCGACACGCAGCGCCCAAAAAGACGAGACGAGACAAGTTGAGGACAGAGGCCGGTGGCCAGTTTTATGACCGATACGCAGACCCAGGCCCACTAAAAAGCTATTAACAAGTAATAATGACAACAACAGCAGCAGCAACAATAACAACACGAGCAGCAGCCATAAACTTGAGTGCAACAGTTAGAGCAATGGGATAAGTCGCGGTTGCAATGTGCCACACTTGAACTCATAAATTCTAAGAACCCGCAGATAACCTACATATATGTCTATATATGTCCCTCACACTTAAGCCCTCTCTCTCTCTCGCTCTCTCTCGCTCTGTCCCACTGTCCATATGACAATATGTATATGTGTGTGTGTGCGTGTGTGTGTCTCTTTATAAATAAACATTGTGCGTGCTTATCCCACTATATGTCTTACGTGCGTGGCTGCGTGTGTCTGCGTGTGTGTGTGTGTGCTTAAGCAAAGTGCAACATCAACAATGACTGCTGTGGCAGCAACAAGTTGATGCAGTTGTTGTGCCCTTTGCTGCTGCTGCGGCTGCTGTTATTATTATTGTTGCCGTTGATTATGACAACACTGATGACTGATGTGAGATATGCATTTGTGTATGTTTGTGCGTGTGTGGCTGTGTGGCTGTGTGTGTGGCACCGTCGATATACCCATTAAAACATTAAAGCGATGCCCAAGTTCACAATCTTTGTGTGTGACGTCTACCGCCGACGCCAGCGTATAGCGCACCGTGCGCACAGTGGTCACAATGCCATCAAAATGTGCTCAAATAATTGCTCTGTTTGCTATTTGTAAACAAAAGTGTTTTTAATTGCATGTGCATACAATTGAATAACGAGGGTTCCAGTTCGACTCCCCGGCTAGTGCACGGCCACAGTGGTCCGCGCTATATGCAATGCATTTCCCATACTGGCAATAATAATAATAATAATATAAAATGTATTGTTATTATAAGAATTCAGTTGAATTTTGTTTCTGGTTTAATAGGGATTGAGATTTTACTGTTGCGTTTTTCATTCTTTAAACGTTCAATTTTTATTAAATATTCTTTTTTTCGGCTGAGACCTTCTTTAATTTATGCCATGGTGGCATGCACTGTGTGCGGCCCGGACACACAAATAAAAACCGGTATTGTTCCACATGCCACAAAAGAAGCGGCTGGTCAAAAACTCACAGAGAAGAACAGCTGCTGTTGCTGCAGCTTCGGCTGCTGCTGCTGCGGCTGCTGCTCTTGGTGGCACAGAAAGCGCATTAGATGGGCGGAGGATGGGGTACACAAATGCAGGTTAGCTTTACCTGGGTGGGGCACCCAGATCTGGGCAACAGGGCATTGGCAACAACACATTTGGCCAGTCATACTTATCTCTCTCCATTCTCATTCCGTTTACTTGCAGATTGCAGAGATAAACAGGACTAGGATTGTGGGATTGGTAACACTGCCGCACTGGAGCTGGAGGATTGCCGCGATGGCATCATCTTCGAGAGGCATTCAGCAGTCTAGCGGCTGTGGCTGGCTGCTGCTGGTGCACGGACTGCTGGCGCTGACCGCGCTCCACATGCACAGCCTGAAGGGGGCAGCAGTTGAGGCGCTGCCGATCACCTCGCGGCCCATTGAGGGCAATGCGCAGAAGGATGCGTGGGAGGCGTGGTTGCGTCTCCCATACGAGCAGAAGTCGCTCGAGAAACAGAAGAAGATAATGCCCAAATCGATATTCGCATTGCCCTTCCGCCACTGCCCGCCGGGCCACAAGCTGTACAACGAGCGCTGCATACCGCAGATCAACATTGATCCCACCGATCTGGTGGCCCAGGAGCTGCAGGGTGCACTCGGCGAGGGCGGTGAGGTCAACAACGGCAACCCCACGGACTACGACTACAGCGACATCGACAGCGAGAGCGATGAGCAGTTCTACGCGATGTCCATGGGGCCGTTCGCTCAGAACGATCAGCTGTCCACGCAGCCCAGTGCCAGTGGTTCCGAGGATCAGGCGCTGCCCAGCGAGGACGCCCCACTCAAGTTCAATATATTTGAGAAGAAGTTTCCCACGGCGCCAGAGGCTGTGCTGCAGCCCGATGTTGTCAATGCAACAACAGCAACAACAGCAACATCGACTGCAACGACCACGCCCACACCCACGCCCACAATAGCAACAATGCGCGAAGACGCCCTCAAGGCACAGCGGCAGCCGGATAATCGAATTGCTGAAGGCGCTGAAGATCTGCAGGCGGATGCCAGCAATGCTCTGCCCAGCACAACTACCCTCAGCATCTCCAGCAGCAGCAGCAGCAGCATTGGCGCCTTCAGCGATATTGGGAATATCGATGCCATTGTCGTGCCAGCGGGCGTGCCGCCGGGCGCAGAGCCCAGCGTTCAGCTGGTGACAAGTTCGATGAGAGATGAGCCCGATCCAAACGTGGTTACAAAGCCGAATGCGGATGCGGGGGCGAAACTGCATGAAGAAGCAGAGCGAGAGGCAGAGGCAGAGGCAGAGGCAGAGGGAGAGACGGACCTGGAACAACTGCTCAAGGTTGACGCCTTTCTGCCGGCCTATGGCAGCAGCGTGGATATGATGCCGCCGTTCAGTCATCGTCGCGTTTCGCCGCTGCTTAGCGCCGATCTGGATCTGGGCGATGATACGGCCACGGATATTGTTCCAGCGGCGGCTGACAGCGAAGCTGATGCAACAACAACAACAGCAGCAACTGCATCGTTGGCAACGCCCACAACAACAACATTGTCGTCAGCCCAGCCGCGAGTGCCAGGAGAAGAACAAGAGCTAGATCGAGTCGTCTTGAAAAAATCGAAAGTGCAACCGGTTCAGTTAAGCTCCATAACTGCAACGACTGCAGCAACAACAACAACAACAGCAACAACAATGACATCAACAGCAACATCAGCAGCAGCAGTGACAACAACAACAGCAGCAACTGTCGCTGCTGCTGCTGAAACCGAAGTTGCTGCTATACATCAAGATTCCAATGGCAATACGAGAGATGATGACCGGTTTTATTATCAGCCTTTTGCCAGAGATGTTGCTGCTAGTGCCAGTAGCAGCAGCAGCAGTATTGCTGACGGCGATTTGGATGTGCTGAACGATATGGCATCCAGTGACAATTTAATGACAAATACAATTGGTGGCCAGGGCGACAGTGAGAAGGCGGCAAGTGAAATTAATTTTGAACAAGAATTGCGCATTATAAACGAGCTGGTTAAGGACAAGCGGCGATTATCGCAGCTGCGACAACAGCAAGAAGAGCAGCAGTCAACCAGCAGCAGCACAACAATACCAACGACAGCGACAGCAGCAACAGCAACGATCATCGAAAGCAGCTCAGGCGCGTCTAGCACAGCAGCAGCAACAACAGCAACATCAGCAGCAACAGCAACAGAAACCACAAATTTTTGGTCAAGCCTCATGCCAATGCTGGGCTTGAGCTCAACGGAAGCAACAGCATCAACAGAACAATCAGCAGAGACAATTACAACGACAGCAGTTACGCCAACAGCAACAACGGCGATAACAGGCAATGTTGCTGAAAGCTCAACAGCAACAGCAACAGTAGCAGCAGCAACAACAAATGTTGTCAACACAAAAAGCACACAACATTTAAGTATTAATACCAATCGTAGCAATAGAAATAGTAAAATAATTAGAGTAGATAGTTTAGACGTAAGCCCACAACCAATATCAACAGCAACAGCAGCAACCGCAGCAACTGCAGCAACCGCAGCAACTGCAGCAACAGCAGCAACAGCAGCAACCGCAGCAACAGCAGCAACAGCAGCAACAGCAGCAACCGCAGCAACAGCAGCAACAGCAGCAACAGCAGCAACAGCTGCAACAGCTGCAACAGCAGCAACAGCAGCAACAGCAGCAACAGCTGCATCAGCTGCAACAGCAGCAACAGCAGCAACAGCTGCATCAGCAGCGACATCCCAGGCACCCGACGATGCAAATTATACACCATTTTGGTGGCTGCCCAACATTGGCTGGCGTGTGGATCGTCAGTTGGATGAGAAGGGCGAGGATCGATCGCTGTTGCTGCGTTTCTTCAGGACATTTCGTGCCAACGATAGCGACATAACAGCGGCAGCAACATTGCCGTCGCGTCGCTAATTTCTCTAGCATTTCTCTGTGCACTCTCCCGTGGCCTGTGCGCTGCTCTTAGCTGCTCTCGCTCCAGCCGAGACACGCTGGAGTCCGCTGGTCGGCTGGGATTGCTGCCGTGTCGTATGGCGATGCCGTTGGCAACAACGTTTCAATTGTGTATTGAAGTTCTGTTTGTTCTGTTGCAATGGCGTCCAACTGTTTCCACCCCACACACACAACTACTTAGCTTTCATTTTTGTCTATAATTTATATATATATATATATTCATTTTAATGATTTTCAAAATTAAATATCTTGGTGCTTTCTTTTTCTTTTGGTATTTGTTTAACTATTTGTACATATTACATAACGTCAACAGTTTCGTTTATGATTTAATAATTTTTTTTTTGTTTTCATGAATTCTAATATATATGTATTTTTTTTTGTTATTTACTTTGCTGCTTCTTTTAAGTTGTTGATTTAATTTTAATACACATAAATATTATTTTATACAATAGTTTTATTATTGTGCATATGTGGGGCCACGACATGCGAATTGCCGCTGTTGCTGTTGCATAGCTTAGCAATATTTAATTGTGATTATTTAAAGTTAAAACTAGTTTTTAGCGCGCGCACACACACAAAATTTACAACTATTATTATTGATATTATTATATCTATATATTTGTAACATAAATTCCTTTCGCAACTTATCCAATTTCTATACACCTCTATACGCCCACCCCTACCCGTACCTATGTAATATTACAATTAATATAATTTCTTCTACATTTATTTTTTTATGTGCAGCCCCGTTGCAATTGTCTCTGTGTATATACCTTATATGGAAGGGAACTTAATATGCGCTGCTTTATTTTAAACATTGTAAATTGCTGCTGCATTTGAACTTGAATTTGAATAATGTAAACAAGCTTAAATGAGAGAAATCACGTTGCTTTTTAAATGCTTCTAAATGAAACATTTTCAAAGATATACGAGTATATTTATAACTAATAATAATGATAATAATATATGTTTTTTTTTTAGCTTTTAAGCGTAATATTTATGTTATCGAAAAAGAAAAAAAACAAGTAACAACAAAACCATATTGTCAAGTAAATGTAATGCATGTACATAGTTATAGCTCTGTTCTTTTTTTTTGTTGGTGTCTAAAACATACGAAGAGAAAAACATAAATATCGAAAATATCAAATCCAAACTATAAAACTGCTTCTCAACAGGTAAATTCCAAAATGGGTGGATGAGACTTGTTGGCTAACATCCGATCGATTGCAAGCTCAAAAGACCTTGATGAAAATTCAACTTGACTAGAAAATGGGGACAAAAGGTTGTATGTGTGAGGTTTCGCCATTGAGCGAGAAATTCGTGGATGTGTAAATTTGAAGAAAATATCTTAAGCAGGTCAAAGCCGGGCAATACCCGCTAGTATAGATACGTTTATCTTATGCTACCAAATAACTCAGAGGACAGATATTGTTGGAAATAACTGATTTGAGGCCAGAGATCAGAGAGGAGAAAAAGGAGAGAGAGAGAGAGAGAGAGAGAGAGAGAGCGAGAGCGAGAGAGATAGAGAGAGAGAGAGAGAGAGAGAGAGAGAGAGAGAGAGAGAGAGCGAGAGCAACAAGTTCGAGTGCAAATATGAAAAGCTAATTACAAAACAAAATACTTTTATTATCCTAAGTTAATAGCCCGGCTGTAGCTTGCGGCTGCAGCCTTCGGCCTTCAGCCCTGAGCCTTAAGCCTTGAGTCTTAATCCTTGAGCCTGCAGGCTTTTGTCTACAATTTCCACTCGCGCAGTTTTGGAGCATGAGTAAGTTTGCTTTGTGCGGTAGGCTTTGCTTTACTGGTGTGATAATGCGGAATTAAGTTCGTCGCCTGGCTGGACGGCAATATAACTACGGCAAAGTGTGGCGCTTCAGTAAACATATTATTACACAGCCCCGGATGCGGACTTGAGGCGAATATTGGTGCGTTTAGTTTTTGTGATGCATCGAAAAGTGGAACTCAACAATGCAATCAAAATGGACGTTGAATATTGCGGCAGCGTCTCAGCTCATGGGCTGGCCAAAGGCAAACACTGCGAATACGGATGCCGATGCGGATGCGAATGTCAACGACAGCTGGCAGCGACGAGGAGCATTAGAATTACCAGCTGGTGGAAACAAAATCAGGCCCAGGAAACTGGTGCTCATGAGGATTCACAAACAACACACACACACAGGCGTACACACACGCCCATAATATGCTAAAATATCTGTCACACTTGCCTGCAGCCGGCGTAGGTGTCGATGTTGTTGTTGCTCCTGTGCGTTGCTGTGTTTGACTCGTGTAGCAAATGCCATTAGGAAAATTTAACTTTTTTCCCCGAAAATCCTTGGGCAAACATATGCAGACGGCATGTTAACATGGCGAATAAAATGCAACCGAATTGAGAGAGAACGAGAGCTAGAGAAATTGGCAGAGAAATGTTGAAATGCGTGTTTACCTAACGATCTGCATTAGGCGCTGATTGCAGCCGCTGAGTTTGTATAAACGCGTGCGAATCCATTTGAATTTCCGAATATGAATGTATATGAATACACCCATGTGCATATATATGAACAAAATCATACACAGCTGGTTTTTGGGCCATTGCCGCTGTTCGTCAACGTCTGTTGCTGCTTGATTTTGTGGCTACAGCGCCACCTAGGGGCGAGCAGCCGCGCAACCGAACCTGCATTTATGCTGCATACCTTTGGACGCTCGCCAAAATTATTATTACATTTATGCAAAATAAGAATTTCAGCGCGAGCTAAAGACATACAATTTAGTAAATAGAGAGAGAGAGAGAGATAGAGAGAAAGAGAGAGAGAGAGAGACAGAGAGAGAGAGAGAGAGCGAGAGAGAGAGCGAGAGAGAGAGAGGGAGAGAGAGCGAGAGAGAGAGAGGGAAAGACTTTAATTTATGCAATATTTGTCAAATAAATCGAACAAAATATAAATAAAATATTTCAATTACAGAAGAAAATTTGTATTTGTTTCGGGAGCCTCTGAATTATTGTGGAGTGGTGTGTGTTGTTTGGTGATTGTGTGAGTGGATGAGTGGGTGGTGGGGGTGGTTGGGCTGTTTTATTTGTAAGCCAAACGGCAACTTTTGCAACTACTGCTGCTGTTGCCAGAAGGAAATTGCTGTTTATTTAACTATTAAGCTCAAATGCACACTAAAAACAGGACAATAAAACGTCGCACTTAAACGTTGGCACATTCGGTGTGTGTGGGCGTGTGTGTGTGTGTGTGTGCCTGCCTGAGTGTGCGTGTGTGCATAAAATATAAATGAAATGCCGCCTAATGCTATGCAATACAAAGTCTCAATGTGCTGTGCAGTATTTTAGTTTTCAATGGCTGAGCTTTTATGCAAAGTAAACAACACGCACACACATATACTTTTACATACGTACGTAATTCAGACAAGTGCCAGTGTGTGTGTGTGTGTGTGTTTGTATTTGTATTTGCCAGTTGAAGCATTAGCTATTGTCTGCCAGTCAAACCTGCCCATAGTGGCTGACGCGGGGGTGACTGGTTGAGGGGGGCTGCGCGGGTTGTTGGTGGGGTTGCGTTGCACAGGACTTAACTGAACTGAAGCGAAGCTTCACAATCTGCTCAATGAATCTCAATAAGTTTGTCATGGCTGCTGCCTTTGTATGTGTGTGTGTGTGCGTATGTGAGAGAGTGTGAGTTCTTGAGCATGTTTGCATTTGTGTGCGTGTGCTAAATCAAGCGGTAATTGGGACTACTTGCCACCGCTACCCCTGCCCCAGCTGCTGCTGCTACTGCTGCTACTGCTGCTGCCGTTGTTTATATAATTGAAACTAACACAAATAAAGTGCGAGAGCTTTCTGATCATGGGGCTTTGCGCCTGCCACAAAATGAGCGTGGCTAAAAGCCCAGCCAAATGCTGTCTCGTTACCATTGCCACTGCCACTGCCACTTACATTGAAGATGCTGTTGCTGTTGCTTGGGCATTTTGCTCTGAATCGCATTCCACAGTATTGACTCCGGTGTGCACAGTGGTAAAAAGGGAGGTTAATCAATATGCATAAATAGATAGAGTTAAGGCAAATGACAAACTTACGTAAAGAATGAAAAACTTTACTTCACCACGTTTAGCACAGCATAAAAAAAAGCTATACACATATATTCACATTTTTATATATACGTTTTCCAGTATCGCCCACTGTGCGCGGCACTTAAAACGCAAGGTGCCTCAGCGAAAATGTGTGTGTGTTCTTGATTAGTGCCTGAGTGTGTGCGTGTGTGTGTGCTGTTGTTTAAGCTGTTGTTAACTTAAGTATAACAATGATAAGGATAACGTTAGGCGATTGCGATTTTGTTGGCATTAAAGCTACCAAACGAGCTCGGGATGCTGCTCACACACACACACATGCGTACATATACACGCGTGTTTACACCTTATTTATTTGGCACTTTCTTTGCTGCCTCATACACACTCACACACACACACACGCGTGTACACTTCTCACCAGAAGCTGTACCCCAATTTGGCCACTTACTCAAGCAATTGTGTTAAGTAATTGGAATGGTTGGGATTTGCTGTCTCAACAGAACTTTAATGTTGTTTATCGCGGCGCCTATCACTCCATTGAAATTTTCATTCAGCGTAAAATGCCTTTTTGGCACGGCTTTCAAATTAATCAGCCCGAAATGCTTTAACACCAATGTAGGGCGTATAGGGTCGTACAATTAATCAGGTCTAAAACTGTGCCTCCTGCATAATGCAGTGAATACTCTTTTGGGCGCACAGCGACTGTTCGCCTAATGCGAGTTGTCACTGTATATAAACTGTTGTTATTTTACTTTGTATAATGCTAGATTTGCTAGATATAATTTCATCTATAAGCAGCTATCTTTTGAGCCTATCTAAAGCGGATTTGGCCAGCACTCGGTTCGTTAGTTTGCCACATGTCAAAGGGTCTGTTGTCTTTGTTGTTGTTGTTGTTGTTGTATTTGCTGCTCAATGAAAAGGCTTAAATGCTCATTTCACGCAATTCATTCGGATATATTTACGCACCCACACACACTTGCACACACACACACACACGTCATGCAACTCAATTAATGACAACAAATGCAAATTACATTTAAATGCGGCGCATAATTTTGCATTTGGCTGCCTTTTCCTGTGGCTATGTGGTTGGCATTTTAGTTATTTACGAGCCGACGCTTCCTAGCCTCCCTCCCAGTCGCCCCTCCCTCATTAGTTAACCCAGTCAAAATGTGCATTGGCCTGGCCAAAATGTGGCATCATTTTAGCTGCAGCCGTCTATCAATTTAAGTGCTAACTGCGATTCCGATCAAGAGACGAACAAAGGCAAAATATGTCAAAGAGTGAGAGAGAGAGTTCAAGGGTATTCAAATTAAAATCACAAATGCAACTTCAATAAGAGTTCATTTTTCATCTACTTTTTTTAGAAAACCAAACCAAATTCAGCGGCAGTTTCATAGATACAAAGAAAAAGGAAACTGAAAGAAATAGACTATAAGAAAACATGAAGCTTTTTTTTAAAACCGTGTTAAGTCTTTATTAATTTGGAAACCATTTAAAAAAGATATTATCAATAGTTATAAAAAAGCTGACTCGAAGTTCCTCTGTCGTGCTCACATATCTCGAAGTTCAGTTGCAATTAATTACCAGCTTTAATTGGCCAACCCAACCCCGGGCGAATCACGTTGGCTGGCAATTTGACATGCTTCACCCCCTTTTATCATTTGCCGTGGTCGGAATGTGAGGCTGTCGTATACAATGGATTACATTTTTGAATGCAAGCGTGTGCAATTGTGGCTGGAAGCTCGGTAAGTGTTGTAAAACTGGCATTAAAAGAGTCGCATTACTACAATGAACCCTGGCCGAGCTGGCCGAACAGCTGCCCTGCAGGTGGGGCGGCAGCCAACTCCCGCTGATTAACCACGCGCTGTTGATGCTCAGCTTAAATCAATCAGCTGCCCAACGAGCTGTTGCCATGTGTTTTGTGTAATTTGAAAACGAAACCCGCAATCGGAATCGCAATCGCAATCTCATAATGCGTCGTATTCATTGTCATTGTCATCGGCGTTGTCATT